TTAATCCATCTTAGGGACAAGATTCGGATTTCAAAGGCTACAAGGAGCGCAAGATCGGTTGTTGTTCACCCATGGTTAACACAGGGATGTATCACCAAGGCATGCACAATTAACCAGTTCTTCAGGTTAAGGATAAAAAGAGGACATTGAAGAACTCTTCGTCGAGCTTTGAAGAAAGGAACCCAGTTGCTACGATAATTGAATCATTTTTTAGTTGTCATTGCAATCGAGTTGCCTCGGCAATAAACTACACATACTATCCAAACAATCATTACATCACAACTCACGATAACCCGATCAGCTCTCTTATTCGATCAATAATCCTTTTTATTTACTTGCTCATTTTATTTTACTTGTTAATTTAAACTCCTACTATCATCAATTTATGCCTCTTTACAATACAATAAGTTATAACACAGAGTTACACCAATCCCTATCGAGAAAATATTTATTCTATATTATAACTTGCGACATGTACACTTGCACCAATTGCGAAGCACTCAAATCACGCAACAATGTGCTCCTAATAAAATCATGACTTTCTCATTACTAATCAGACCCCAACAATTGCCCCTTCACTCATTCCAGATCTACCACTTAATAATAGATTAACACAATTTTCTCTCTATCGTGTGTGTATATATATATAAAAGTAAGATTAAGTTCATTAGAAACACCTCCCTTCAAATTCTCAAGCACTTAAGATCTTTATCTTTGTTTACCAAGTTCTCTAAAATCTTCCATGTCTTCTTTTTTATACATTCATTGAGGAAACAATGGCTATCCGTCTGTCTTGTATCATTAGCTCAAAGAATGGTTATTTTGTAGTTTATGTTGGAGAAAATCAAAAGAGGTTTATGATACCAGTGTCTTTCTTGAACCAACCTTTGTTTCAAGATTTGCTAGGCATGTTGAAGATGAGTTCGGATATAGTCATCCTACTGGCAGTCTACGAATTCTCTGCAACGAAGACGTCTTTCTTGATGTTACCTCTCGCTTGAATTGACTGTGAGAGAATTAGTATAAATCAACCAATACAATTTTGTAAATCAAATATCTAATACAATGTATACACCTTTTTTCCATCTTTTTTCCTTGGGGAGCAGAAATAGGTCTCCCTAAATGAAAAATTAGAGATGGCGGATATTGTAACTTTTATTAACCAATGTGGTAAATGACTGTAAACACATCATTCAGTTGGAATTTATTTCTTTTCATAGTTTCCTATGGTCTCATTTTTTTTGCTAATTTAATCTTTAACTGAACTGTACATGAATTACATTATTCCAAAATCATTTCCTATAATTTACCATTTGCTCTACATATGTGAGTACAAAGGGTGATCATTCCCACTGCCCATACATATTTGTATGCGTTAACTATTAAGAAGCCATGGCGATAACATATTTCGTCTTTACGATTTTTCGATCACATAAGAGTTATAGGTCTACAAGTACATGCACTTATTTCCTTTATGACAACAAATAGGTTAAAATGCAATCCGTTAAGCTCTGAATTTCCGGCGAGGACTTGTCGCCTGTGGGACACATTTCAGTTGGTCTTCACAAGGGTATGTCTTACATGTTACTCTTATTATCCTCTAACTTGTCCATCTAAATCAAATATCCAACTGTCCTTTCCAATTGTAGGGCACATTGCTTATCAACAAACAGACCACAGCTTCATTTTACCCCTTAATCTTATAGAACATTCGAAAGACAACCATGTGAGACTTCCAAAAGCATTATACTAACATAGTTCGAGCAATGTCACACATCTCCATACTTGCATGATATTTATTTTTCATTCTTTTAATTAATACATATGCGTGTGTGTATAAACAATCAAAAGATCCTCTACATCTTCAGATGTACCTAAGGGCATTTTTCCAGTTTATGTTGGGGAATCACAAAAGAAGAGATTTTTGGTTCTTCTATCCTTCTTGAATCAACATTCTTTCCAAAATTTGATAGGAAAAGCTGAAAAAGAGTTCGGGTTTGATCATTCGATGGGAGGTGTTACAATTTCATGTTATAAAGACGTATTTTTGGATTTATTTCTTACTTGAATTAACCTTTAAGAGAATCCAACTAACAAATTTTGTACATCAACAAAAAAAAAGTTAATTCAGTGTAAAATGGTCTTTTTTTCTCTTTGTTTTAGCACAGAAAAAGGCTTTTGTCAAGAGGAAGAGAAGTTTGTCCGAATGGAAATAGTTTCCTTTCCATGATTGAAACATATTGAATCTTTATTTTTGATTCATGAATATTATTTTCTTCGACTTATATCAAAATTGTCAGTTGCAACTATCCATCCAAATAAAAAAAAGGATAAATCATCAATAGTCGTCACGATCACAATTTTTTCATTAACAGGTGCTCTCTTATTTTAGGTTGTATATGTTAGGGGGTAAATAATCTGAACTTGAACAAAAAAGTGTTTATGTTAGTTTGTTTATTTTTTAAGATGTTCATATTCGGTTTATATAAATTTTTAATATCATGTTTGTGTTTATTTATTTATTTTTAAAGGTGTTTACGTTAAGTTTATTTAACGTTTACTAACATGTTCATTAACATGCTCGTCAAATATGTTCATAAATATTAACTACACAAACAAACAAACAAAAATAAATTAAAAATAGGGAAATTATGCCACTAATTCTTAAGCTCTTTAGGCTTCATAGTTTGAACTCCAAAATTTATCTTGTGTTCAATTTAATCTCTACCTTCATCGATATTTAAAATGTAACAATGAAAAAGAAAAGGACAATTGGGTAAAAGAACTTATAAACGAGTTTATAAATGAACTTTCAAACAAGATTGTTTGTGAATATAAACGAATTAAATACATTTTTATTCATTTATTAAATGAACATAAGATGTTTGTTCATACTCATTTATTCAACGTTTTACAGACACTTAATCGAACATGGTTGATTTACATTCTCTCTCTATAAATATATGAATATGGGGTCATCAACGCTGGCCTTTAGATAGGTCTTGTCTCTGCTGTCAATGTCCTCCCAATATAATTCCATTGTAAATTTGTCATTATCATCTAGGCATTGTGGATACCAGGTACTGCCCTATCCCTTGATCTATTTCCTATAGTGGGTCTAAACTCAGCAAGTTGCATAGAGACATTCCTCATGCTTTCTTTTGAAGTAGCTAGTTGAACTACCTTTAAGACAATAATGAATCTTTCAACTTTTTTCTTGATTTTCTGGTATTTGGAAGGTCCTTACAGTATTATACATCATACCCATACCTGTATATCAGTTATAGAGTATTAAAAGCAGAGGTGATAGAAAGGACAAAACATGACTTAGGGAACTGTTGATTTACAGTTCAGATATAGCAGTTTACAGTTTTCAAGTGATGGTTGAAGAAGAAGAAAAAACATGTTTTAGCGGTTTGAAGCAGTTGGGGGAATGATCTCACGTGACCTTACTATGTTGTCTTTACAGGAGAGCTTAGGGTCACTCTGCTCAGCAGACTAACATGGTCTTCATGTTCTATTTTGGGTATTATGAAGCGAATATTATGAGTTGAGTAATATTTGGTTTGATTAAAAATTGTTAGAATATATTCGACTTAACTCTTTGAAAAATAAAATAAAATTTTATTCAATTAATGCTTGCTAAAAAAATTTGGTGTTCAATTCATTATTCGTCTTAACTTTGTTTGTTAAACTAGTCATAATTTTTATCTAATTTGTTTAAAACATATGTAGAATCTAATGATATTATATAGAACTTAAAATAAACATTAATTAATAAATTTAACAAAAAAATATCAAAGTAATGTGCATAGTAATTTTAAAGTTTAAACTCTAAAGTAACAATCTCATATACACGAAACTAACATCTTACAATTGTTTTTGAAAAATACATAATCAATCATAAATAAGATAATCAACATCTTAAAATATTACAAAAACATTAACAAATTATTTGTGAATTTATTAAATTGAGTCTTGTTCGATTTGAATCGTTAAAATTTTAATTTGAATAAAATATTAATCGAAACAAAGTGGAACCACTTGTGAACGGCTCAATTCAATTAATAAAAAGGCAAAGGTCCTCTCTCAGTGTCTCGGCCCTCTCCTGGTTCAACAGAGCACCATATTTAGGTGGGCAATGGTGGGCCTGGGTTATCTTTTTCATCCCTCACATAACATGCAAATGTGTGTCACAGATGGTGACTTATGGGGTTAATTTGATTGCTGTCATTTTCTTCTTATTTTTCGCCGTAAATCATGCATTTTAATCCAAAATAACAATGCCTATCCGTACTATAATTTGAACTGCCTTTTCCTTTCAGCTGATTAAGGGAAGATTCGGCTTTTGATTTGGAATAAGTTGAAGAATTGACCTATATTGCATACCAGTTGGCCTCACCTTTAAAACAGTTGGACTCATCCTATCATTTATAAATTTTGATTAATCTCACTTCGAACTTGAATTTTTTTTAAAAAAATTAATCTTATAAAATCAAATTGAAATTAATCGTCAAATCCCATATCCATCTCTAAACTGAACTGACCATATAAAAAGAAGGGTGCAAGTGTGGTCAAAACCTGCAAATTCAGCAGTAAAAAACACACGGGTTCCTGAAAAAAGATTTGTGGTCTTTTGTTTTTTACTGCCATTCAGACAAGAAATCTCAAGACAAAATAATCACAAAGATCCGAATGTTCAAACTGTTGTACTTTCCGGTGAACTCATCATCGGTTCGTGATTTCAGGTATATATATATATATATATATATACTTTTTGAAAACTATTAATTTCTTATAATTTGTGATATTACTCCATCGGTTAAATCGATCCAGCAAATCAATGTAATCTAATTTCAACAGCCGTGGTTTGTCCATCGGGCTATGGCCTCGCCCTTGTACTATAACACTGCCCCCACACTCTCACATGACCTGTCTTCTCTTGGTAAATAAATACCCCTTCTCCTCCTCTTTTCACCATCTCTCCCTTTGCTTAAAAAAAAACTCAACAATGGCAATCAGAAAATCATCCAAGCTCCCTCAGACCGCCGTTCTGAAGCAAATCCTGAAGCAATGTTCCAGTCTACGCAAGAAACACGGCGGCTACGACGATGTACCCAAAGGGCACTTCGCCGTTTACGTCGGAGAGAACAGAAGCAGGTACATTGTCCCCATCTCGTTCTTGACTCATCCCGAGTTCCAGTGTTTGCTTCGACGAGCCGAGGAAGAGTTCGGGTTCGACCACGATATGGGACTCACTATCCCTTGTGAAGAAGACGTTTTTCGATCTCTCACTTCCATGCTCAGATGAACAACAACAACAACAAAGACAATTACTTGCTTTCATTTTGGAGAAGATGAAGATGGCCAAAGAGAGAAGCATTATATAAAGCTTCTCTCTTCTTTTTTGCCTTTTCTAACATCGATCCTTCCCCTTTTCTACTATTTTGAACCCATGAATCTGGGTTTTTTTTTCTTGATGTGACTCTAACTTAACCCAAGAACAATGAAGTTGTCTTTTTTCTGGGTTTAATCATTTGTACAAAGTATGTTTCCTCACTGTTCATGCCTGTGAGAGAAGTTTAATGGTTTTATGAGTTATTATTATATCAGAACAAATTAAACTTAAACGAGTATTCATATTTTATTTTATTTTATATTATTTTTTTTATCTAAAATAACAAAATAATGAAACTTATATACCTTTACCTTGGCGAAATCAAAGTGAAGGACATGTAAGGAGAACATTAGAAAGTGCACAAACAGTCACAGAAACATTGTTTGACAGGGAATGTGGGTGGTACGTGAGCAAGTACGTATGACAAGGTTTCTTTTGTCTAAGCCATAACCGTACAAATATCAAGTGCTGAATTTTAAACTATATATAACCATAAAAAATCAATCATTATAAATATGTTTTTTATAATTCTTTTATATTTTATATTAATTTAAGTTAATATATCTTAAATCCATCTAGTGATCTTAATGACAAAAAAAATATGTTATTCCAGATTTATCTTCTACTACTTGACAAAAGGATGAATATACGACTATAAAACCTCTCTAAAGAATCTCATTTAATATGAGATTTTACAATTTTTTGCATTACCGACACTGCTTACATGCACAAAAAAGTTTCATTCTTACAACAGTAGTATTACAATTTGGTTCATTGGAACTATAATTAGGTGGACCGGGACCATATAGATCAAACCATTTGAGCCACATTTATTTATGTGAAACTGCTTTTTGTTTCCATGCATAAAGTTTATTAGAAGAATGTCAAATTCTTTATTACTTGAATATTGTTTAATTTCATTTTCAGATGTATGTATTATTGTTAATTTGGAAAAGAAATCCCCTCATTATTAACAAAAAAAAGATGCATTCGTTTTCTGGTGGTTCAGCTTGCTATTCTGTAGTTTAACTGCAACTAATAAACTGTCTGCTGCAATCACATTGTTTTAGGTAAATCAAAAGAGAATAATTAAAGCAGCAGGTTATAAAGTTGAGGGCAGGATTGATGTGTTATCAATAAAATATTGAAGAAAAAATGAGTTGGAAATTGAAAAACAAGGGTCCAGTTGGGTGCATGGTTCTTGTGCAATTTTGTCTCCAATGAATGCTCTACGTAAATTCATGGAAGGAGCCTTTGTCACTTTAAATCTTACTCTCCACAAGGTGATATGTTGGGGACATACATGCATGGATCCAAATCCTAAACAAATATCCATCTCCATCGAATTAATTACTTTTAATAATCTCATTTGGAGTTGTCACGTATAAAACTCCTAAAAATATAGGATAAAATACAAAAATGGTCCCCTGACTATATGTTATTGTTTTATTAATTCCTTCAACTATTAAAAGTTATAAAATAATCCTTCGACTATAGAGTATTATTTTGATGAGTCTCTCGACTATTAAAAGTTACAAAATGGTCAACTGACTTTTCATTATGTCCCAAACTCTTCCTTTTCCATTAAAACTTTTATGGTATTCTGAGCCGAATGTTAACCTGCTGACTGTGATATAATTGATCTTAGAAACTCAAATGACTATCATATCTAGTCATCATGTTAATGCCCAGCTTAGACAACCGTAGTTTTTTTAACGAAAAAGGATGAATTTGGAATATAATAAATAGTTGAGCAACCATTTTCTAATTTTCAATAGTCAAGGGATTTAATAAAGTAGTACCCTATAATTGGAGGACCATTTGTGTATTTACCCAAAAAGATATTATTCTAATTATGTCCACAGTCTCTATATTCTTTGAAGTTCTGAAACTTAGTACTTTTACCTTCATAATTTCAAGAATTCAGTCATCTATTTGTCTGGTCTAAAAATAAAGTGTAAGTGAGGATATAAGAATGATTTTTAATCACCATACATGCTTGGAAATTATTGGAAATTTTATCACTCAGTAAAAGCCTATAAATGATATAAGAATGATTCATAAAATGATTAGGACTGCTCAGCAATGTTTGAATTAATATGAATTTTACAAGGCTTGCTATAGATGCCAACGCACAGGGAATATTTCTAGACGACATGAAATGTCATTGCAGGATATCTTGGAGATAGAGCTTTTTGATGTGTGGGGCATAGACTTTATAGGACCCTTCCCATCTTCATTTGGAGATCTCTACATCTTGCTAGCAGTGGACTATATATCAAAGTGGATGGAGGCAATTACAACACCAAGGAACAACTCTAAGACTGGACTCAAGTTCCTTCACAAGATTTGGAGCACCTAGAGCTATCATCAGTGAGTAAAGGCACCCACTTTGATAACAAGTTAATTGCTAACACATTACAAATATATGGGATGCGACATAAAATTGCCACAACATACCACCCACAAACTAACGGCTAGGCTAAAGTCTCCAATCGTGAAATTAAGAAAATCTTTGAGAAGGTGGTTAATCCAAAGAGTAAGGATTGGTCCCCAAAGCTAAATGAAGCACTTTGGGCATATCACACGACATTGAAGACTCCATTAGGAATGTCTCCATTCAAGTTGGTGTATGGAAAAGCATGTCATCTTCCTATTGAGTTACAGCACAAAGCCTACTGGTTTATCAAGAAACTCAATTTTGATGTCCAATTGGCCGGTGAAAGAAGACTGCTAGGGCTAAATGAGATTTAGAGCCCAAGCTTATGAAAATGCAAGGATGTACAAGAAAAAAAACCAAGAAGTGGCATGACAAAAATCTTTTGCCACGGCATTTTCATAATGGTTAGTAGGTGCTGCTCTAAAATTCAAGGCTGAAGCTCTTCCTTGGTAAGCTCAAATCAAGGTGGTCTCGACCTTTCGAAGTACACCAAGTATACGTGGACATAAAAATTTATGGACGATGAGACCATTTTCTAGGTCAACGACCAACGAATGAAAGCATAAACATGAGACCCCATCGTGCGCGACAAGTCTGCAATCTACGTTTAGGATGCCTGAGTTTGCCCTTCTATCCCTTTTAAATTGCTACACCATTTTCATTTATCACTATGTTCGTAAATAAAACGTGCATTTTTCTTTTATTATTTTAGTATGGCAGTTAATTTTATATTTTTCACATTTTCTATTGGGCTTTATTTCAATTAGGTTAAGTGCACAGGTGGTGGCATAGGGTGAAAGAACAAAAAGAATGAAAAAACCCCTACCTTTATATTTTTCACGTTTTCACGTAGTCTCACATCTAACTTGATAGCCCACTAGGGTGCTCCCCTCTAGACTCAAAACTTTGAGCTCCAAGCAACTCCTGAGTTAACAACTTCACTTAGGTCGACTATCGAGCCTAACCAAAGAACTTGAAGAATTTCTAAGATAACCTTGTCTATTCCACTAAGACCCACTAACTAGGCACATGGATCTTCGCGCTAGGATCTTATACCCGAATATTCTTTCCACTTAGTTCACTTGGATTACACGAAAGAATGCACATACTCGCGTATATTGATGCAACATGATCAAACGGAATTTTTCATACTTTACATACAAACCACTACGTTAACATCCTCTATATACCTCACGGATCTGACCAACTAGGATGTACGCAACTATATTGGAAATATGTCGACCTAATCTTTCACTTTCCTGTTAGATCATAACGCTGACACTTTTTAAGTAGACCATCTAGCACGCTAGATTGTTAGGACTATTTTTCAGTTTTGGGTAGTCTCTCACAAAATGTTCTAAGGATTCACCTTTAAAACACATCCTAGAGAGTCTCAAGCATATCCCTTGATGCCACTTTCTACAGTACTTACACTCTGGATACATCGAAACTCTATTGGAACCATTTATGGTTGTCATAGACCATGAAGCTAATGTTCTTGTAACACCCATATCCCGTATACATACCCGAATACAAGTTAGAAATATCACATTAACTATTCAAAACATTTCATGTTCGAAATTCAATAAAAAAATTCTTTTAAAATCATCAAATTTAGTATTAATCACTAAAAACATTTAATCATGTAAATCAAAATTTAATATTTAATCATTCAAATCAAATCAAAATTCTTTTAAAATCATCAAATTTAATATTAATCACTAAAAACATTCACCCATATGCGGATTGGGCTAGTAATATTGATGATAGACAATCAATTTCTGGTTAACGTGTTTATCTTGGTGACAATCTTATTTTGTGTTGTTCACAAAAGAAAAAGTTGGTATCTCATTCCACGAATGAAGCAGAATAATGTGGGATAGCGAATGTGGTGTTTACAATTACGTTCTCTGCTTGCAAATATGGGGGTTGTATGTTCTGATGTTTCGGTTGTTTGGTGTGACAATACAAGTGTTGTCGCTATGAATGTCAACTTGATTTTCCATGCTCGTACCAAACATATTGAGCTTGATTTCCATTTTTTTTAGAAGGTCACAAATGGTGTTGTGTTCATCAATTATGTTTTGGGTCAATACCAGTTGCCGATGGATTTACCAAATCTCTTTCAAAGTCTTATTTTCCAATTTTTTACAGAAACTCAATGTCCTTGGGTATGATCATTTTTACAATTGAATTGAAAAGCATCGTTTTACTATCAAATAATATTTCTTAATCTCAAGAAAGAAATAAAATAGTAGTAGAGAGTCGGTTCACATGGACTAAGAAAATTACTGATGTAGAAGGATTTTGATTTTGGTGATAGGCGAAAATTGTAGAAAGAATGGGGGGATTTTTTTTGAAAGTTTGAAAAGAAAATAAATATTTAATCTAAGAAAATTAAAGAATGTAAACTTAGATAAGAATTCGATATTGTAAAGAATAGCCTCGGGCTTCACTTTTCCTCAATTCCTGTCGATCATTGAATAAGATTTTTACTTCAGCTTTATGTCGGTTACAGTCTAAAGGGTTCAACCCCTATAACTTGTTTTTCCTCTAGTAAAC